ATGTTTGGCTCTCGTGATTTTGCCGAAGTTGCCAGTTTCGCCAGTTCCGGTTGCTCTTAAGGAAAGCGCCACATAGTTCAGGCAAAAATGTTTTCATAGGGCAAAACATTGGAATGTTTCCCTTAGCTGATGTTAGTGATTACTTTAAATATTTGCGAAATATCATGAGCCAATCGCAGGTTTCGTCACAAACAAGAGGTTTCCGTTCACAGAGTATTGAATAATATGCTTGAATTACTAAAGAAATACAGTCCTCGCACCATAGGGGTGTTCCAGTTGCTTTTGTTTCGTTGTATATATTTATTTATTTATTTATTTATCTGTTACTCGACGCTACGTGAAAAGTAATACTAATGCTAATGAAGCTTATGTTGATAGTGGTAGTTTTGTTAATTATGATAACGTTAGGATTATCTTGATGTTGTTGATGATAATCGTAAAGATAATGGTAATTATATTGAAAATAATGCTATTGGGAAGGAGGGAGGGAGGGAGGGGAGGATAAAGGAAGGGAGGGAGGGAGGGAGGGAGTGGAGTATTGAGAAAGAGAGAGAGGAGAGAGACAGACAGGCAAGTAGGCAGGCGAGAAAAAGGGGATGAGGGAAGAGTGAATGGAGAGAGGGAAGGAGTGAGTGAAAAGGGGGAAAGGAGACGAAGGAGGGAGAGAGGGGAAGGGAGACAAGGGACAAAAGGAGGTGGAGTGAAAGGAGAGGTGGAGGGAGGGATGGGAGGGAGAGGAGGGAAAGGAGAGAGGCGAGGGAGGGAGGGAGGGAAGGAGGGAGTGGACGAAGTAGGAAGAAGAGGAGGGAAGGAGTGAGAGAAGCGGGAAAGAAGAGTGAGAAGGGCGGGATGGGATTACACGGGTGATAAAAAGGACTCTCTTGAGTGGAGCCCAAATGAGAGGGAGCGCCTGAGTCTCGGGAGGAGAGCTGAGGGAGCGAGAGGGCCACGCCGGGAAGCGTCGCGGCGGCCGAGCACATGCTGGAAGGAGGCGGAGGAGGCGCAGGAGGTGGAGGGCCTTGGGCAAAGCTCTTGTTCGCGCGCCCCGGACGCGGGGCTGCGGCCGGGCTGCTTCCAGTTAACAGTGGCAGTATAGTGATTACTTTGGCAGCAACAGCAGTGGTAGTAACAAAAAACAACAAAGACATTATTTCCTTCTACTCCACCTATTTCTACTACTACTACTACTACTACTAACACTACCATTACTACCACTAGTAATAGTAATAGTAATATTAGTTCATATTCCGCTAGTGTTGATGATGATGATAATAATGGTAGTGATAGTGATAATAATAATGATATTAATAGTAATAATTATAGTGATAATAATAGTAATAAGTATAGTGATAATAATTTAGTAATTGTAATGATAATAAAAGTGATGATAATGAAAATATGATCATAATAATAGTCATTATTTTTTTATTTATTTTAATGATAATATTAATAATAATGACAACGATGGTGATTATGAGGATATTGATGATGATAATAATGATAATAATAATAATGATAGTATTATTATTATTATTATTATTATTAATAGTAATAATAATATTAATGATAATCATCATTATAATAATGCTAACAATAATAAGAGTTATTAAGTAACCGTAGAAGATTATAGCAAGATACCCTATACCGCATTGGAGATAGGCCTACCCTTATAAAGTAACGATAACTTTGACACCCTGAATATTATTTAGACGAAGATAATGCTGCATTGGTGATAGGTCTACTTTTAAGAAAATTGGATTTCCCTTTAAAGATGTAGAGGTTATTTAGACCGAGATGCACTATACTGAGTCAGTGATAGGTTTATCCTCTAAGATTTAACCTTAAAGTCCTTTGAATATATTTTTCGAGTCCACTGTGGCAGTTGGAAGTGTGGGGGGGGGGGCAGCTGGCAAAGGGAGTGTCTCCGCCTAGGCCTATGTGAGGAAAATCCCGCAATAGGCCTACCTCCTCGGGATACGCGCTCGGTGTGCTTATGGATGCTGAGGGGGAGGGGGGGAGGGGGTTGGTGGGCGAGAGAGGGGGAGGGGGGCATGAGGAGTGAGGGTGGGTAAAGGGCGAGGGGGGCATGAGGAGTGAGGGTGGGTAAAGGGCGAGGGGGGGGGAGGGTGCGAGGGTGGGTTGGTGGGGCGAGTGGGGGATAGGATGGGGGGGTAAGGGGGGATAAGGGAGAAAACCCTCGTCTTATTTTGAGAAGTAATATGACGTTCTCTGGGGGGGGGGGGGGGTTAGGGTTACGAGGTAGAAGTGCCTCTTGGGTTTTGCCTTTTTTCTGTATTTTTCTTTCTTTATTTTTTATTTCGTGTTGTTCTTTTAATTCTTTCTGTCGGTTTCTTCTCTCTCTCTCTCTCTCTCTCTCTCTCTCTCTCTCTCTCTCTCTCTCTCTCTCTCTCTCTCTCTCTCTCTCTCTCTCTCTCTCTCTCCCTCCCTCCCCCCTCCCTTCCCCCCTCCCTTCCCCCCTCTACCTCTCCCCCTCTCCCCCTCTCCCCCTCTCCCTCTCCCTCTCCCCCTTTCCCTAACCCTCTCCCTTGTTTCGTTTGGGGCCAAGACCATTACCCGGCCTGGCTTCCGTAGCAGCTATTTATAGTTCGGGGAAAAAAATCTGCCTGATTGATAGCGGTCAAGGCTGGCGGCTCAGGGAGGAGGGACCGTTGGGGTGGGGGGCGGAGAGGAGGAGGAGGAGGATGCTGGTGATGAGGAGGAGGAGGATGCTGGTGATGATGATGGTAGATATAGTGATAATGATGCTAATGATGATGATAAGATGGTTTTGGTGATGATGACATTGATATTATGATAATGATAATGAAGATTAGTGGTGATGATTAGCCTTTGCTGCGGGACTTCGAGGCCTCGCTCGGCCTCGAAGTCAGGTCGTCTTTAAGTCGGCCGCCCCGACGAAGACGTTCGGTTCGCTTCGGGAACTTCTGTCGGGGCGGGTGGGCGGAGGATCTCGGATTCCCTTGAAGGGCTAGGGGGGTAGGGGGAGGGACGTGCCTTGACCTTTGTTCACTTTGATCGCCTGTTAACGTTACTTGAGAAGAGAGGAAGAGCGAAAAGAAAAGAGAGAGAAAAGGAAAGAGAAGAAAAAAGGAAAGAGAAGAAAAAAGGAATAAGGGGGAATAAGAAATAGAGAAAAGGAAGAGGCAAAAGAAAAAAGAAAAGTACCAGCAGGGATTCCTATCGGCCATGCCCAGCTGCACCGTGGGAGACCTTCTGACTCCGAAGTGAACGGGATTTTCTCGCCTACAGTGCCTACAGGTAATTCTCTCTTGCATATCAATGAATTGGAATTTCCCATAGTGTTCTTGTCCTCAAGCTGTTGGCCCCAGGACACTGCTCGGCGGGATAACTGAATCTGAAAAGATCACAGCCACACATTGGTCGGGGCCACGGAACAGAGCTGGGGAACCGCTGCTGTAAGGAAAAGGGGAAAAAAACGAGAGTGAATAAGGAAAAGTACAAGGGAGAAAGGAAATAAGAATAAATGAGCGGGAATTGACGAGGAAGAATTGGAAATTAAAGAAGGAAAGGATAGAAAATCAGTCCTTGAACCTGACGGTGTTGGAAGATTGTGGCGGCTGTGGTGGCGGTGGCGACGGCCTTCGAAATGGTAGAAATAGAGTAATAATATTAACGATATATCAACATCAACGTCGGTAAAAGTGAACGGTTATGGTATAGCCAAATAATAGTAGACATCAAGAGAGCGAAACATGAAAGCAAAAACAGCAGCAGCAACTGGAGCCTCCGCCAGCTCCTTCGTGTTCCAACCCTGTGCCTCGCCTCCTGTTTCGAGTTCCATTTAAGGAATATGTAGAAAGAGGAGGGAGAAACAGACACAGAGATATAGGCAGAGACAGATAGAGACAAACAGAGCAGCCGAGTAGTTGAAACCGGGCGGGCGCTTTCCGGAGAGTTTAGCGGGGAAAGTCGAAGCGACGCGGGATCCTGCCTCCGTTTTTTTCTTGCGTGACTGATTGAGTGAGAGGGATAGAGAGATTAGAGTTAGATAGAAAGATAGAAATAGATAGATCGATAGAAATAGAAAGAGATAGTAATAATAATAATAACGATGATAATGATAATGATGATAATAATAGTGATAATAATTTAGTTAATTTTAATTTGTTACAATGGTTATTCTTATGTTTAGTGTGACACGCTGTCTGTTTGCTTCTGAATTACCCCCTGAGGGATGGATGGATGGAGGGAGGGAGGGATGGATGGAGGGAGGGAGGGAGAGGGAGAGAGGGAGGGGGGCGTGCGTGCGTGAGGGCGCCATATCTACCGACCCGCCCTCCCTCGCCCACAGACAAGCACCGCTTAGCCCAAAGCTGAAACTGGACACTCCCGACCTCCCACACCACCCCCATCCCACACCTCCAACGCCCACACACCCCACGCCCATACCCCCAACGCCCACACCCAACGCCCACACCCCCAACGCCCACACCCAACGCCCACACCCCCAACGCCCACACCCCCAACGCCCACACCTCCAACGCCCACACACCCCACGCCCACACACCCCACGCCCACACCCCCAACGCCCACACCCCAACGCCTACATCCCCAACGCCCACACCCCCAACGCCCACACCCCCAACGCCCACACCCTAACGCCTACATCCCCAACGCCCACACCCCCAACGCCCACACCCCCCAACGCCCACACCCCAACGCCCACACCCCAACGCCTACACCCCCAACGCCCACACACACCCCACCCCCACAACCCCACGCCCACATCCAGCACACCCCCCACGCCCACATCCCCAACGCCCACACCCTACGCCCACACCCCACCCCACAACCCCCACGCCCACACACCCCCACGCCCACACCCCCACGCCCACACGCCCATACCCCAACGCTCACACCCGCAAACAGGACCTGCGAGAGGACGCCAAACTCCACCTATTTTTAAAATGGGGTTTTCAGCGGAGATCATCACGGTGATGGACACAATTGCAACGTAG